GACGCATTCTTTTTATTGTTTTTCTTTTCTATCTTTCTTTCTTTCTTCTTTTTGTTTTTTTATTTATTATCCTTTTTTTTTTTTTTACTTTTATTTTTTATTTACGTACAACTATAAATTACGTAAGATCATACTTAAGATCAAAGAAAATATTTGCTATTTGAAATGCTTAATGGAAATACGATTTTTTCTTTGTTGTTTACCCTTTTTTCTTTTTTTTTTTCTTTTTTACTTTTTTTTCCTTTCTTTAAAACGACACAGTAGGTTTTTTTTTTTTTTTTATCGAAATACGTATATATGACTACGTCCAATGCAATGACATCTTTCATCAACGTGTACTTAACTCTCTTTCCTCTCAACATTTTCCTTCGTCCTTTAGCTCTTCTCCCTTTGCAAACTGCGAAATGGTAGATACGTACTAACATAGGTGAATGTACATATCTAGATACCTATCGTTTCCGTTCTATCTACGATCGTCTCCGTTGCATACAACATATGATATTCTCTCGTACGTAAACATAGAGAACATTCGATACTTTCGTAACATTGCTATTCGATTTCAAAGGTGATGATACATCGTGAGTCATTGTGAGATTTACTATAGAGAGATTTCATCAGATTCACATTATCAGTTTACTTCCTATATAACTGATCCATATCTTACAAAGTGACTTTACAATACTATTAATATTAAGATAAAGGAAACGTTAATGATAACGAATTAGCGACTATCTTAAAAGTCGTTATACTTAACTCCCAATAGGAATCAGTCATCCTGATAAGGATCACTTGTAAAAAGGAACGACTAAGGTTACTCTTAGAGTTATCTTTCTCTTTTAAAGAAGAAGAACGTTGGCTCTACGAAATGTCGAGTATAAAAAAGGAGAGAAATAAGAGAAAGAAAGAAAGCTTATCTAGTCGGCGCGTGCACTCGCGAAGGGCCGTTTGTCCTCCGTACTTCACTTCCGACCCTTCAGAGTGAAGAGCTCGATACCCGTAGAGAGACCGATGCTTCCCTAAGGACAGGAAAAATATTCATGCCCGTGGGGACGCATCTCGCACGAGAATCTCGCTTTATGTGCATCTTTCCTCCCAACTTCCTCCTCCTTCAGACCCTTCCCTCCCATCCTCTATCCCTCCTCCCCATCCCCATCCCCATCCCTATCCCGTTCGTCCAACCCATCTACCGCACCTCCTTCTTCTCGGTCGCCTCTCTGAAACCTCCTCCCCTTCTCCGTGCACACCGTTACGTCTTACCTCCTATCTTTTTCCCTCAACCCCTTTAGCGATATTTCCTTTTATCGTTCTTATATCTTTCTCTTTCTATTTCTTTCTTTCTTTCTTTCTTTCTCTCTCTCTCTCTCTCTCTCTATCTCTTTTCGTTTTTCTTTCTCTTTTTCTCTCTCATTTTCCTTTTTTTTCTTTTTTTTGTACACACGTCAAAGACCCTTGTTTCTTCGTGCACGAAGAGACGAAGAAGATGACGTTCCTGCTTTGACAGCTTTGCATAAATTACAAAAGGCTCGACAGAAACTGCTCGAATTCTTCTTAGCCTCCTGAGTAAGAGAAAGAGAGGAAGAGAGAAAGAGAGAGAGAGAGAGAGAGAGAGAGAGAGAGAGAAAGAGAGAAAGAGCGAGAAAAAGATACTGAAGTAATGAGAGAGAAAGAAGTTACGTACGACTCGGAGATAGTTTTTTCCTAGAGATAGTGAGGGGGAATGATGAGGAAAAAGTAGAAGAAAGTGAGAGACGGTAGAAAAATAGAGAGAGAGAGAGATAGAAAGAAATGAAGAGAAAGAGTGTGGTCGGGATAAAAGAGGAACAAAGGAAGACGAATCCGTAAAAAGATTTATATTATTTGGTGCGCGTAACACCGATGAGAAACTAACGCTATTTTCTCGATAACTTTGTTACATTTCGTTCGTGCAAAGAGCCTTTGTTTTCTATGAAAGTGTGCGCATTGTCAATAAACGAGTCGTCTGTTATTCGTATATTATATACGAAAAGAGAGAGACAGAGTAAAAGAGAGAGAAAGAGAGAGAGAGAGAGAGGGAGAGAGAGAAAGAGAGAAAGAGAAAGAAAAATAGAAAAAATTCTACGTCGTTCCTCGGTACTTTCGCACGTATTTATCGTACGAATCCTTTGAATCAAGTGAAAATCCTATTGAAGAGATTCGATATTAAATCAAACGAAAGATCGATATTGTATATATATATTTATATACGTATATATTTGTATATATATATATATATATATATATATATATATGTATAATATACATGTAAATATATGTGTGTGTGTGTGTGTGTGTTATAGATTTGAGAAATACGTCCTCATAACATTTTACGAAATATTTTGTCAAAAGGTAGGCTCCATTGGGAATTGAAAACGTTTTTCTAAAGATTTCGATTTGATGTTTGGTATGTATAGTCTGTGGCAGAAGAAGGGTCGCTATACTTTTGACCATCAGTCGAAGGAAATCTATCTAGGATATTATTTACCTTTGTCGAGCGACCTGGCCAGGAGGATTGTCGGCAGGATCAAGAAGACCATGTACCACGATAGCCGGTCCCGCATTCTTGCGAGGTTCCGAGTCCTCCTGGGAAAGGAAACATTGAATTTTCATTATTACTTTATGATTCAGTCGATATTTCTCTTTTTCTATCTCTCTTTTTCTATTTTCCATTTTAATACCGTGAGAGAGATAGAAAGATTTTGCAGCTGTGATGCAAAAATATATATATGTATATATATATATATGTGTGTGTATGTGTGTGTGTATATATATAAGATTGATTCATAAATAAGTGTTGCAATAAAGTAAGGAGTTTATTTCAATAAAACGACACTTGAAAAATGAAGTAACTATTACATTTATCGACACTCTCGTTGCCATCTTACTACTTTTGATTCGATGAATAATTTCGCTATTGAAAAGATTTATACGTTTGTACGTGAATCGTTTTGTAGGTGATATTGTTAACGAGTTTGGTTCGTTCCAATTTTATAATGCATCCAGAATTCGTTTCGTTAATAAACGTTCGATCTCGATACTCTCTACTAATAAAACGTATGAAAAATTACGCTCGTGAGGGAAATATTTTTTGACAAATAAAACAGAAAGAGAGAGAGAACAAAAAAAGGAAGGAAATAATAATTTACGTGACGTTTACGCGACAGGCGGGACTTTTCAAAATGCAAAACAATTCAAAATGCTCGAATGCCGTTGAAGAGAGGAATCGCATAAATCGTCACGCTAAACCGCTTCGTGTCGCGATGTGTTTCCTTGACGATTGAAACTTGCGAATATCATCAAACTTTCCATCATCATGTTTCTATATTAAGGTGCTTTCATCGGCATTAATATTTTTTCGGGTAAACAAAATGACTTTTACGCATTTCTGTCATTCTCTTTATAGATGTGAACGTAGTATGTAAGTACGTTCGTGTATTTATATACGTCTATGTGTTACTATATAATACATGCATATTGAGTATTGTACGATAGTGAAATTTGAAAAACTTCGATAACTATGTTGAGAATACGATATGATTAAAATATTGTTGGACGGATGTTTCTTTTCCCCTACTTGTTTTTTTTTTTCTTGTAAGAATTTTAGAAAACTACGTGAGATCACATGGATATAAATAAATTCATTCAAACTATAAACAAATTCATTCATCAGTCATAAACAGATAATTTCTAATTAAATTCGGACAAGAAACGCTCGTAAATCTATGTGTAAAATTCTATTTTTTTTTCTTTCTCTTTTTTTTTTTTTTTTTTTTTTTTTTTTTTAAACATTCATATTGAATCATAATGCATTATTAAAAGAATCACTCAATATATCTTTTATTTACGTTGTTTTACCTTCAATTCATTGCGAGTTATTTCACTCACGTAAAGAGAACAGAAGAGTCAAATCAGGCATTGTCGTATCCAGACCAGCGGATCGACGAATTCGTAACGATTAATTCGAATCCAGTGGCACAATATTTGTGATCGCTGGGCAGTTGCGTAAAGCGCAATTATTTGTCAAACAACGCGTGCTGATTAAACCACATGTAGAGGATAAGAGAGAGAAAGAGAGAAAGAAAGAGAGAGAGAGAGAGAGAGAGAGAGAGGAAGATGGATGGGATGTTAGTGCGATCTATAGAAATGTAGCAAGTGTGTTACGTTTGTTTCTTTTGACATCTGTTGCATATGAATCGATAATTCAATCTTTAAAGTTTCATTCGTTAACGTGCTTTATATTAGCGCGAAATAAAATTGTTATTAATATGAAAAAGTGCAACGAACGATAATGAATTTCTCTTTTGCTTTTTCTATTCCTTGCTTTCTTCTTTTAATTGTTTCTATTTATTTATTTATTTTTTTTTTTTCTTTTTTCTTACATCGAGAAAGTAATCGTACGACCATCGTTTCTTTTATAAAATCATCGATAAGATGTCTCCTTTTCTTTCTACTTCTTCTTTTTCTTCTTCTTTTTTTTTTTTTTTTTCTTTTTTACTTCGTTTCTTCGCTAATATTCGTCCTATTTTATTCGAAGAACGAACGAACGAACGAACAAACTTTATGAAGCTCGCTGGAGAACCGATCCGACCGTAAAAGTTGGAAATTTTTCGCATGGAAAAATGCACGGACGAACAAGTAGGAATGATTGTGGCCCGTTAAACGTTCCCCTGAGTGAAATCCTGTTTAATGGAATAATAGATCACTGGTCGGAGCTTAATGCAATGTCAATATTAGAGAATTGAAACAATCAACGTGAACGTCCGGACGACAGCGTGTATACGAGGTGTGATTTTCATCGAATCTTTGTGATCCTTTTATTGTTTCGACTATAGAAAAATTTATCGATTTGTTTGAATATTTGAAAGTTTGTTAAAACGATTAGCTAAATTACATTTTTTTTTTTTTTATGTCTTGCGAAGAGAACGAGTTAGCATCTACGTTTTAAGTTTTCCGCGATTTAAGCTCCTATCTTCATGGTTATTCTTCCTCAAACTTTTCATCGTAGGTCGATTTTCCGTACGAGAAAACGCGCCACTCGAGCTTCTCGTATTATTATTTTCTCTCTCTTTCTCTCTCTCTCTCTCTCTCTCTCTTTTTCTCTCTCTCTTTCTCTCTCTTTCCTTCTTTCTTTCTTACTTTCTTTTTCTTTAACTATTGACAAGATCCGAAGAATGAAGTAAATCGTTACTCATACAAATACGTTTGCAATTTCTTTGCAGTGAAATATTTTTTACTTAATCGGCAAGTGGTACCGTTTACCTAAAGGTTTTCTATCACTGTTTAGTAAACATTTGCTTTTCGCTTTTACGCTTGCTCTTTCGCTAATGGAAGCACCTGCAAATTTCGTTAGAAGAGATTTCTTTGATCCCGTGCTAGTTTCATTCGTGCTCCGATACAGAAATTGTAGAGAAATACAGAGAGAGAGAGAGAGAGAGAGAGAGAGAGAGAGAGAGAAAGAGAGAGAGAGAAAGAGAGAGAAAGGTAGGGAAGAAGACTAAATCGAACAGGAAAGAATAAACAAAAGTTGAAAGTGAATGAGGACGGAAAAAAAATTTATCAATGATCTCATCTCGATCAAGTCGAACGATCCAGCCACGATTCGATTCTCAATAGTCTCATGAAAAATTTCAACGACAAAGAGAACTGAAATTAGCACGGTTCATTTAATTTCGTTGATTAGATTTTCCAAGATGATATTTCGTAAAGAACGAAATGAGATATTTTAAGACTCGATCATAAAATCAATTTCATTTTTTAAGAGTTTACAATGGATACGTGCTGGTGCATACGTGCGTTTATGTATACATATATACAACTACGTTATCGTTTATCACGATTTTTCACGTCGGAAGTATTAAAAAAAACTGAACGAAGGACGAGAATGATTGAGGTATGGTTGTTGGAGTTGAAAACTCGGACATTTTTCAGCATGCGCGCGCTTATACTCTCTCTTTTTCTATCTCCCTCTCTTTCTCTACTGCTGTTCGAGGTTGGCCGATATTCGAGCGTGCACTTTAAGAGTTTTTAATCAGCAAACTCGTCTCTCTTTCTCTCTCACTCTCTCCCTTTCTCTCTTCCCCTCTTTCGTTCTCTTCGGGAGAGTTTTTAATCGGTCCTTAAAAGTGGGTTTCTACTTAAGCGAACGAGTTCGAATATCAAGAGCACGAAAGCAGGATAAGAGCATCGGCTCTTTTTCGAGTCCCTCCTCCTTTTTCACCTTCTTTTTTTTCTATTCCTTTTATTTCGTTCCCTATCAAAATCGAACAATTATAGTGATATTGCGATACGATAGATATACAATAATAAAGATTTATTTCTCAAGACTTAATACCAACTTCGTTAATATATTCATAATTGTGTTCGATATCAGCAGAAAATAATTTTTTTAGATTAATAGAAACGGATTAAAAACGTTCAACAATTTATAATTATAAAGGAAATAGTCCGTGGAGAGTACGTGAAAGAAAATATTTGCGGAGTATATAATTATTATTATCATCATCATCATCATCATCATCATCATCATCGTTATCGTCATCAATCCTCTTCTCCTTCCTCATTCTCTTATATATCCTTTTACTTGAAACTCGTAATGCCACTAACGTGATTCGTATCTACATGCAAGGTACCTCCTCGTAACGAGCAGTACGGCCGCGAGCGATAGCGCGCGTTAATTCACGAGACGACGAGCCACGAAGGAGGATGGGACGAAACGAGATATTAAGCGCCATAATTGTGCCTTACGTGGGAGGATGTAGTAGAAACGTGGAGGAGAGTATCTGGGTTCGAGGATCGGCGAGATGCTACGACGTCTGTGAGCATGACAAGAAACGACATGATATATATATATATATATATCATATATATATATATAGAGAAAGAGAGAAAGAGAGAAAGAGAGAAAGAGAGAAAGAGAGAAAGAGAGAGAGAGAGAAAGAGAGAGAGACAAGCCAGCAAGAGGGTATACACCCTCTCGTGTATCCGCTCGCGCGAAGGATGTAGGGTGGATGCTCTAACGAAGAGATGGGAAAGAGGAACAGAAGTAATCTTATCCTGACTTTAATTCCAGCTCAGAATTGCCTCTAATTACCCTAATTCCAGAAAGCGTACGCGTCGAAGGAGCGGTTGCCTTTCACGAATTCAGGTGATCTTCGAGAGGGCTCCGAGATGAAAAAGAGGAGGAGGAAAAGAGGAGGATGGTAGAAGAGAAGTGAAGAGAAGAGAAGAGAAGAGAAGAGAAGAGAAGAGAAGAGAAGAGAAGAGAAGAGAAATGGTTAGGTGTAACTCTCATTCGAACGAATATAGGGACGGATAAAACAGTGTTAGGGGAAGAAAGAGCCAATGGTGATGACGGGTATGAGGAAAAACCAAAAGGAGGAGAGAAGGATAGAAGAAGAAAAGGGAAAGAAAGGAGAAAGGGAAGAAGGAAAATACGGAAGGAAAAGCGTTCAGGAATAGCTCGAGATAGCTCGGAGCGATTCTTCAACTAGCTCGCGGCACTAAGTTTGGTAGGGAGGAAAGGTCCGGTAATCGCGACCATCGGGGGGGGGAGGGGAAGGGTAAGGATGGAAGTGTAAGAGGGG